TGGAAACATCAAAGAATTCCAGTTCTTTGATCAGAAGGTCACTTGGCTGTTAGAATTTCTCCATCAAATCAATGCTTTGTCAGAAGCAACCAAGGTGATGAGGGCTATTTGTATGTTCTAAGTTTTTTTGTTGGTTCTGAGGGAAAGTTTATGTGTCTTTCACCAGGGTTACATGATTGGTGGTGCTTTGAGGTACTGTGAATTATTTCATTGTCAATTTTGGTTATAGTGAGTCCCCCAATCCATTTTTAACTTTAAAGTGAGAAAAAATCCTTATGTCCTAATCAAGTCCCCTCCTCTCTAACTACTGTGTGGTTTCAATTCTCCTATAGTGTCTAACTCTGATGGTTTCATATGTCGAAGCAGAAAATGCTAATAATGCCATTGATTTCAAGGTCTTTAAAATAATTTGGAGATTTAGTCCTAATTTATATAATTATCACTTCAATGAAACTTTTTCCAAATAAACTACTCAGGAAGAGAGGTGGAATATTTTGCTGCTTGTTTTTGTCTTTTGAAATAAGGCCTCATTATTGTTGTCCTGGCTGGCCTGAAACTCATGATCTTCCTCCCTTCACCTCCTGATATTTGCATAATTTAATGGCATGAGTTATTAGTTTACTACTTTTGTGTGTTTTGTGCTATAATCTTTTATCCAAGGGCCTGTCAGGGACAGGTAGTGACTGCTTTTGAAAATTCCAGATAACTATTTGTTTGTGAAATATTAATTGGTTTTAGAAATTAAATTTAAGTTTCATTAGCATTTTATACCAGTACTAAAGATTTAACTGAGGTTCTGTGGCTTGAACTCAGGACCTGGGTGCTATCCTTTAGCTTCTTTGCTTAAGGCTGACACTATACCACTTGAGCCACAGCTCTAATTCTGGCGTTTTAGTGTTTAATTGGAGATGAGTCTCACGGACTTTCCTGCCAAGGTAGCTTTGAAGAGAAATTCCCAGATCTCAGCTTCTTGAGTAGCTGGGATTTTAGGCCTGAAGCACTGGCTTCAGTCTAAGTTTCATTAGCTTTTGAGAAATACAGTGACTATTGTTTGCTCTTAAATTGTTTGTGGAAATCAAATATCTATTTAAGAAAAAACCCTGATATTTAAAGTACCTATAATTAGATACATAGCAGACGATTTTAAAACATTTTGCAAGGATCCATGTATAGAGTTATTGTATCTTTAGTTTCTTTATGGTCCAAAGGTGGCAACCAAAGCTCAGGTTTTTAGTTAATTGCTGCCTCTGTCACTTTACTATTTTTTCAATGCATATCATGTCCCTGGCTGTCTTTAAAGTGCCTTTTCTTCTTTTTTATACATGGGGATAAAAATATAGATTTTTTTCCATCTTCCATCTTGTGGTGATGATCAAGCAAGTTTGTATGTAAAAAAATTCACACAGACCCAATGCTTTTGTGGTGGAGGTTGTAGTTATCATGAATATTTCCATTTAAAACTGCTATTGTATTATTCTTGAGAACTACTGCATATTTAAATATGCCAATTACTTTGCCTTGTATTTTTAGGACAAATGTTTGTGCTACTTTATGGATTATTTTTTTACAGTAGTATTTTCTGTACTTGAAAATTCCCAGTCTTCTCAGAGACTGTATCATCATCTTTCACTCTTTTGTTTCTATGGCAAATGTGTTAAAAAAAAAAAACCCGAAATAACCAACATAGAAAGACACTCTTCAACAATGTCCCTTCTGTAAGCTATGAGGCTCTGGAGAGTTGTTTGCTTATTCTGTTTGTTTGTTTGTTTGTTTTATTTTGTTGGTCATGGGGCTTGAACTCAGAGCCTGGGCACTATCCCTGAGCTGTTTTACTCAAGGCTAAAGCTCTACCACTTTGAGCCATAGCTTTACTTCTAGTATTTAGATGGTTAATGAGACATAAGAGTGTCACAGGCTTCCCTACCCAGGCTGTCTTCAAACCATGATTCACATATCAGCCTCCTGAGTAGCTAGGATTACAGGCATGAGCCACCAGCACCCAGCTAGTTTGCTTATTCTTTGAACAGTTAAATCCTTGATCCCCATCCCTGAGAGATTTCCTTGATAGCCAGCTTCCTGGCTATCTTAATCACCTCCTGACCACACTCCAATTTCTTAGATAACCTAACTTTCTTCTTCCAAAAAGGGAGTGAATCTCCTAAGCCACTGATATTATTTTTTCAAATCAAGTTTTGTTCACTGATGCTCAACAAGCATTTTATTACCCCCTCCTTCCCCAAGAGAATACTAGTGAGATAAATTGCAAGGAATTTTCAACAAGATACTCTAGTGTCTCCCCCATTTAAAGACTTTTTTTTTGCAATTTTCTGTTTATAATGTTTTAAGGTACACAGCAGAGAGAACTCTCTTCCATGGTTTGATAAGCACCTGGTTTGTTTTAATAACTATTTAGCTTTCCCATCAGATACTAATGGGTAACTGCATTCACTAACGGACAGCAGCTTTTGTAGAATCTAATATACTAGTGTCAATGAATGATGGTTGGTTTCCTTCTGTATCCTTTTGTTTAAACCTCACCCTGCTCCTGGGGTTTATCTAAACTTACTGATAACAGCTGTTACCATGGCTGCATGTTATTTCATTTGTTGAACTGATGTTAGATAAAAAAAATGTCATTGAATTGTCTGCAATCCTGCATTTAAACAGAAAAGTCTCCCCTACCCCCACCATTATGAGGACCTAATTAGGAAACAGAGGCTTAAAAATCCATGCCTTGTATTCTGAAGTCTGGACTGTGCAATTCTTGTGTGGGATCTTGTGTGCAATTCTTGCCTTTGGGATCATTACTTTGGCCACCAACTGGAAACTTTGGCCCTGCTCCCTGGTGACAGGGATGAGCAGATGCATTCATTCAAATAATGAAATGTCAAATCTGCGTCTCTGAAAAATGGATTTCTTCTCTGCAGATCACCACCAGATGGTGACTGAAGGCTTGGCTCATATTTTATGTTCTACAGATTCTTATCAATTCACAAGATTTAAGTGTCCTTTCCTATCACCAATAAAGAGAAAATATCCTTGGAAATGTAATTTCTCTCTGTAGCAAGCATTGGGAGAGGCAATCCGTGTCAAGGATGGCTCCAAGAAAGGGTCAAGTGTCATGTTGTAAACACAAAAGCTAGGTTGGAGCTGGTTTTGCCACCTCCTCAGTATGTGACCTTGGATATTTAGTTAGCCTTTAGTTTCAACAGCCATCCATTGAGAGTATCAATCATACCTGTCTCAATGAAAGAGTTCACTGAATGAGTATGCTATCATATTTTTTTAACAGTCATCCCTAGCTAGATCATGGTTCACTTTTTTGTGGCTCCACTGTATCACGGGTTTTTATTTTCCTTTTCTTTTGTTTTCTTGTTCTTTAAAAAAAAACCAAACAGGTAAATAGGGATCCCTCACCTATCATGGCAGTTACGTTCCAGAGACCCCACCATAGGTGAAAATCTGTGAAGCAACCATAAAGTAACCTTGATATAGCAAGGGACCACTGTTTATCGCGACTACTTCGAGGATGGAGCTCTGTATCATAATTCCTGCGATAAGTGAGGGATCACAGTGTTATTTGCTGTACTGGGGAAGGATCTTAGGGCATACACATACTAGGTAAGAGCTCTATCTCTGAGCTGTAGGCTTCAGCCTAAATTTATGTAGCCAAATGGTAATAAGGGAGATAGGAATGTTAGCTATTTTTATAGGAGCATATACATATATCTTTTTACTTCAGAAAGACATCATGGAAGCTGTATTTCCTAACAGCTTGAACTCAGGGCCTTGAACTCTCTTGGCTTGCTTATCCGGCTTGAGGCTCTATCACTTGAGCCGCACCTCTCCACTTTTTACTGATTATTTTGGAGCTTGTCATGGAGTTTCTTGCCTGCTGGGTTCAAAACTCAATCTTCTGGATCTAAGCCTCCTGAGTAGCTAAGAGGTATAAATGTAAGCTACCAGTGCCCAACATAAGGAGCCAATTTTGATGTCCTTGGTTTTGAACTTGTTTGTCAGCTTCCAAATGTCCAATCTTAAAAGTAAATCCTAGGTCTTCATATATGCCCAGAAGGCTCTCTCCCCTGGAATTACCATGAGAATGTAATTTAGTTGTCAAGGCAGACATTTTGATGTAGTGACTAAAATTGTTTTTAGAACTTGAAGCATTTACCAAAAATGAAATCCCTTTTGTTCACTTTCTGGAAATTTCTTTTCATTGGACTCTGGGCTTCTCCTGAGAAACCCCATCTAGCTGTCAGTTAAGTGGCCCAGCAGTCCATGTGTGAGCCAATGAGAACTTTTCCCACTGGATGCTATTGTGAGGAACTTGTACTGATCCCTGAAGCATGTTTGATATGATTCTGATGCCCCTTCCCTTTCTTTCCTTCCTTCCTCTCTCCCTCTCTTCCTCCCTTCCTTCTTTCCTTCCTTCCTTCCTTCCTTCCTTCCTTCCTTCCTCCCTTCCCTTCTCTCCCTTCCTCCCTCCCTCCTCTCCCTTCCTCCCTC